CCAACTAAATCTGAGATTTTAGGAATTTACATATCGATGTTTTACAGTATTGTTTGCTAATTTTTAAATAAAGTCATGATCCGTGTGCATTTGTGATTATATGTGTACTCATTCGCTTCCCTAAGCTGACAAGATCTTTCAGGGTGGTGTTTCCGAAGGAGAGCATACAGAGTCAGCCTGCAGGCGTTTAGGTCTGGGTGGTGCATTTGATCTTCCCGTTTGTGCCAATGTATCAATATAGAATTGCTCTGTTTCCTACACTGTATTTATTGCTGCATTTCTCAGCATAAACTTATCCCATTGTATTTTTTATAAATAAATATTTTTTTTGAACATTCATATGAACCACAGGCTGATTCTTTTCTGGCTGACTTCCAGATAGGTACATTCCGATTTTTTTAAAAAAATGTTTAAGGTACTCTTTCCAGGTACTGTTATAAGGAACTTAATTTTGTTTGATCATCACAACATACTATTCTATGTGTAAGGAGATGGAAGTTTGGAAAAATGAAAGAACTACACATGGTTTGAATCCTAGCTGTCCCTTACTGTCCCCCGACTCTTGCTTAGGGAGCTCTGGGGCTACTGTAGGGAGTTGCACTGCCAACCCAAGCAACATACTGTCTGACATTTTTATCCACCAGCAGCTCTGAAAGAGAAACATTGGCAGTCCCCTCCCATCTGAGCACAGCCTTGGAAACCCACTGGAGGATCAGCTAGGAGGCTGTTCTGACTCGGGTGACAATGAGTTGCATAGCTGTTTATTTTTCTGACCTTAAATCCAATTTGGAAAAAGCTTGAAATCATCTTTAGGAATACTGCCATTTATTTTCTGGGGTGACTTGAATATGCAGTAGGGAATCTACTGGGTTAGGAATGTTGTTGCTGTTAAATGTCACTGAGTCAAGCACGACTCATAGCGACCCTGTGAAGGACAGACTTGAACCCTGTCCTATCCTGTGCTAACCTTACCATCTCTCATATACTTGGTTCCATTGCAACAGTCACTGTCAGTCCATAGTGTTGAGGATCTTCCTTTCTTTTGCTGACCCTCCACCTTTCCAAGCAAGATGTCCTTTGCCAAGGAATAGCCTCTTCTAACAACTGCACGCCCAGAGTATGTGAGATGAAGCTTCACTCTCCTTGCCTCTAAGGAGCACTCTGGCTATATTTACTCCAGCACGTATCTATTGGTTCTTTTAGTAGTCCTTGGAACACTCAGCACTCTTTAGCACCACAACTCAAAGGCCTCAGTCTTTCTTCTGTCATCCTTATTCAGTGTCCAGCTCATAGGATATGCTATATCATAATCAGGGACCTCTGGTAGCTTAGTGGTAAAGAATTGAGGTGCCAATGCAAATGCTCATGGTTCAAATCCACTAGCTGCTCTGAAAGGAAAAGATGGACAGTCTCCTCTCATGCAATTTACTGCTTCTGAAAACCTGCTGGAGGGTTAACTCTGAATCTTTTCTGCTTGGTGGTATACAACATAAAATAAACCTAGGTTGCCTAGTGGTAAGAGCCTGCACTGCAATCCTAAATGCATATAGTTTGAATCTACCAGCTGTTCTATGGGAGAAGGATGGTTAATCTCCTCCCATATATGTAACTGCCTCTGAAAACCCTCTGGAGGGTCAGCTGTGGGTTGGTTCCAACTCAATGGTATACAACAACAAGGGCTCACAGTTATAAAATGTCAACTGTGTTAACTACAAAGACCCACTAAGGAAAATTTGTAACTCAGACTTCCTGACACTGCCCAGTCAAGTGATTTTTTTTTTTTTTAAATGGTTCTTTTGCTCTTCTAGGTCTTGGAGTTCAAATGTGCTGTTGCCCTAAGGCAACCATGGAGACACTGAACTTACAGAAGTTCAGTGTCCTTAACTCAGTAGTGACTAACCTTATTGCCATTTGGTGTCATGGCAGTGGCTCCTACTCCATAATGAATGATAACGAAATTACCCAGTCCTCTGTCGTCCTCATAGTTGTTGCTAGATTGGAGCCCTTTGTTGCAGCCACTGGGATCATCCATGTCCTAAAGATCTTCCTCTTCTTTTTGCTCATCCTCTCTACTTTGCTCCATGTCCTTCTCCAGGCACTAGACCTTCCTGAATAACGTCCCGAGTATGGGATGTGCAGTCTCGCTAGCCTCCCTCCAAAGGAGCGTTCTGGCTCTACTTTTTCCAAGATGGTCTGTCTTGTCAGTTCATAGTATAGTTAGTGTTCTTTGCCAGTGCTATAATCAAATGCGTCAGTTTTGTTCTGCCTTATTTATTGTGCAGTTTTTAAATGCATATGTTGCTGCTGTTTGATGCTGTCAAGTTGACTGAGACCCTGTGAATAATGGTTCTGAACTATGCCCTACCTATCCTGTTCCATCATCATCTCTGATACATTTGAGCTCATTGCTATAGTCAGTGTATCAATCAGTCTTGAGGATCTTCCTCTCTCTTGCTGACCCTCCACTTTTCCAAGCATGATGTCTCTTTCCAGGGACTAGTAAGAAGGCTTGAGACATGCACGCTTGATTCTGAGAAATCTACTTTTCAAATATCTTTCCTAAAGAATACTGATGGGCCTACATTTTGGTTCCATATGCTGTCTACAGAAAATGTTTTGTCCTTACATTTGTTAAAGGTAGATCCGAGCTGGCATATTATTTCCACTATTGTCTTTTGAAGAACACCTTCTACAATTTCTGGGAATTTTTGCTCTGCAAAGAAGCCAGGCTGGTCCTCGGTTTTCTTGATGCCTGCTCTTCAGTCTTCTCCAATTCCTAGTGACAACAGAATTGGGCCATTGTGATTTGTAGGGTTTCCAGCTAGGACAGGTTCATCCAACTAAAAACTAATCCAGTTCATCTAACTGAAAAAAGCTGCCAATTAATATGTTAAAGGTTTCTAGTCAAACTTTAGAAAGGAACACGTCACCAAGTAATCTCTCTTCGGGGATGGACTCTAGGTACAAGTATTTGAGAAAGATCACGCAATTCTGTGGTTGAAAGTACTTTTTTTTAAAATTTATTTATTTTATTAAAGAAATGTAAACAAACAGTCCATACAAACACATTTTAAAATTACATCTTTCAAAACCCTATTGCCGGAGTCCTGCAGCTGTAAGCAAAATCACATCTCTGCCTTTTTTTTTTCTTTTTCAATTTAATTTTTTGTGTGTTAAATAGAAGGCTAGGAGTTAGATTTAAGGTCCTGCTACATTATTCTATTATGTTTACATGATTCTTTGTGGCCTGAAACAGAGTTGCTATGACTACAACTTTTATAGATGTTTTGGTAATTTAAACTAATTTTTTTCATATTATATTGTTGCATCCCTACTTCTTCAGTCAGGCTTTTTTGTGCTTACAATTTGTGATAACTGTGAATAACTGCTTAAAATTACACCCAAATGGAGGCTGAATTTTTTTCTTCAGCAAAAGTAGTTTTGATTAGAAACTACTTCTTGAGAATGTTTGCAAATTTGTAAGAGGGAGGTTAGAACTTACAGCAACATCATACCTGGTTAGACATGTCTTCATTTTTTATGCAATGCCTCGTTCAGATGGTGGTTTTATTGTTAGGTGCCCTCAGGTTGATCACTGTGTGCGGCAGAGGGAAACACCCTGCACAGTCCAGCCGTCGTCTTGTTGGAGTTTATGGCTGTTGTTGCATTTACTGTGTCACTCAATCCACCTCAAGGGCTTCCCTCTCCTTTACTGATCTACTTTCCAAAACCCATGTCTTTTCCCTAGACATTCCTTCCTAACAGCTGGGTACTTTAAGATGACCATTTTTCTTGTCACTAAATATAAGAATTGTACTTTGTAAAGTGGACAGTTAAATTAGCATGGAGGTGGGACTATTCTATTTCTGGGCTTGAAAGAATAAAGCTCTACTTTGTTCTAGAGCAGCCATCCAGAGATTTCTGCTAACAATAACATAGCCAAATAATTTTTAAGTTTTATTCGTTTGTTGTGAGTGGTGAAGTATCCTATTCATTGGAGCCCTGAGGTAAGCTTCTATATAATGTGCTTTTGACCCATAGAGGCAGGGTATTAGTATTTCTATCCCTTTTGATATAGAAAGGTCAAACTGTTGTCACTCAGCATTATCATTTAGTCAGGTAATAAAGACAAAAACAGTGAGGAAGAGTAGGGCCCATCAGGCCTTATCATTTTATTTTGTAAATGACTTCAGAAGTAGGAAAGTTACCCAGGTACAGATACCAAATGAGTGGCTATCCCACCATGGGCTGGAGTTCTGTTCCTTCATCATTCCTTAAGGAATCTCCTCTCTCGGCTCTTGCATCATTTAATTTGCTGCTGCTTT